ATGGGAAATGCCTTTCTAGTGTTTATGCTGGTGATGGTAGGAAAAGAAAGGTCATTGCTCCGAAACAAAAGTTGGGTTATAATCAGCGTTGGAATTGCTCAATGGTGCTTCAGTTTTATAGTTAAATGCTTGTAGCCAGAGAAACACCTTTTTAATTTAACATTCCTGCACGTGGTAGGTACACAGTAAATATTTATTAATGTGTATTATCTGGAGCATTCTGGGCCCTAATTCTCTTTTCCTGGTAAGGTTTCCTAAATTTTTTTTTTCCCCTGATTTGAGGTTTCTTAAGATTTAAGCTACCGTTATTACAAAACAGACCATAATTTTTATATTTGGTACTTGTCTTACACCTGGAGATGGGACAGAAAGATGTGTTCTGTTTTGTTTCTTATTGGCTAGGCCAGCAAAGGAGGACCTCACTGTTTTCCAGAATTGCGTGTTGGTGTATTTGAAGAAATTGTGCCCATGGGGATCAGCCCCAATAAGATCTCCTACAAGAAGCCTGGTATGCTTGCTTTTAGAAGAAGAGTTACGTTTTTTTTCATAGGGACAAAACTTAATAGAGAGACAAATAAGAAAGACACTGTGATCAGCAAGAGCCATGATGAATCCTCTCTTTAAAATAGCTTTGGGGTGGCTAACACTTGCGTGCATCCAATGCTTAAGTTGATACTTCCCTGTGGTGCTATGGTAATTGAAGACTCACCTGTCTTATTCTTCTTGGTGATGGTTTGGCAGAAAATTGTTTTCTTTTTTTCCAAAGATAGCAATTTGGAAAGAGTGTAATTATTACTGTAAGTAGCTCATCAACAGAATAGAGCACCCAGGCTTTTTGCTACAGGAAGCAAGTGGCTTTCAACACCAAAGCAGTTTGCAGTGCTCCGGAATGTTGTCTCCCCTTCTGCCCCATGGTAACTATAGATGGTCGAAAAATATTTGTTTGGTGGGGTTTTTTGGTTTTTGTTTTGCTTTTTACTGTGAGAGTTTTCGAACATGAAGAAAAGTAGAGAAAATAGTACAGTGAAGGGCCGGCCCATGCCTCATTTGGGAGAGTGCGGTGCTGATAATGCCAAGGCCACGGGTTCGGATCCCATATAGGGATGGCCGGTTGGCTCACTTGGGAGAGCGTGGTGCTGACCACACCAAGTCAAGGGTTAAGATCCCCTTACCGGTCATCTTTAAAAAAAAAAAAAATTAGTACAGTAGTACAGTGAACTTTCCATGTACATATTATGCATCTTCAGCAGTTACTAACTCATCACCAACTTTCATCTATACCCCACTCTTTCTCCCATCCTGGATTGTTTTGAAGGGAATCCCAGTGTCATGTCTTTTCATTCATAAATATTTTAGTAGATATTTCTAAAAGATAAAGATTGTTTTAAGGAAAAAACTATAAGACTGTTATCACATCTAAAACATTTTAAGAATAATTCTTTAATATCTGTATAAGGGCACTTCAAAGAGCTCATGGAAAAATAGAATTAAAAGATAATATGAATCTTTCCATGAACTTTTTCAAGTCCCCTTCTATTATTAAATGTCTAGTCAGTCTAATAATTTGTCTCATAATTTTTTAGGTTTGTTTCTATTAGGGTTCAAGTAAGATCCATTCATTGTGATTGATCAATATGTCTCTTTAAGTGTCTTTTTAACGTATAGATTCGCCTCTTTTTTT